AGTCCGATGGATTTCATGGTGTGGGGAAATGTTGAGGAGGAAGGAGGAGAGTGAAGGGAGGAGGACGAGCGGAGTCAAAGAGGAAGGAGGATGAGGAGGATGAAAACAAGAAGAAAAAGGGTCACATGCGTCTTTGCCATGTGGCACGTGACAAGAGAAGAGGGGTAGGAAGGAGTAGTATATGGAGAGAGGAGGACGAGGGGAGATGAGGAAGGAAGAGGAGGGAGGAGGATGATGAGGAAGAGAACAAGATGGAAGGAAAAAAATTGTGTGATGGTTGACCACGCGGAATGAGACGGGAGGAGAGAGGGGAGGAAGGAGCAAAGAGGAGATAGGAGGGAGGAGGAGGGGAAGGAGGGGGAATGGGGAGGAAGGGAGGAGGAGGAGGGAAACGATGTTGAGAACAAGATGAAAAAAATCGCGTGCGGGTTTGCCACGTGGCACGCGACAGGAGAAAAGAGGAGGAAGGAGAGAGGAGAATGACGAAGCGGAAAAGAAGATAAAATACACATCACCCTTGTAGCATGTGCCACGCGACAAGAGGAGGGAGGAGGAGAAGGAGGTAAGTGGATGGGGGGGGAACGAGGAAAAAAGAGGAGGAGGAGGAAAGAGGACGGGGGGAAACGAGGAGAAAGGAGGTGGAGGAGGACGACAAGGGAGGAGGGGATGTGGACGAGTTCGAGATGAAAAAAAAATTGCGGGTCGATATTGCACATTTAACATGATCAGAGGAGAGAGGAGGACGGAGGAGGAGGAAAGAGGAGGAACGAGGAGGAGGAAAGAGGAGGAACGAGGAGGAGGAAAGAGGAGGAACGAGGAGGAGGAAAGAGGAGGAACGAGGAGGAGGAAAGAGGAGGAAGGAGGAGGGAAGGGGGGGAAGGTTGAGGAAGGAGGAGGGAGGAGGAGGAGCGAAGAGGGCGAGGGGGGATGAGGAGGAAGGAAGAGGAGGCGGAGGGGGGAGAATGACGATTGCGATAACAAGACGTAAAAAATCGGGTGCTGATTTGTCATGTGGCATGTGAGAGGAGCACCAACAGGAAATAAGAGGAAGTCAAAGGGAGGACGAGGAAAGACGAGGAAGTTGGAGGAAGGACGAGGGAGGAGGAGGAAAGAGAAGTTGGAGAAGCAGGGAGGACGACGAGGGGAGACGGGGAGGAAGGAGAAGGAGAGGATGAGGAGAATGATAATAAGAAAAAAAAATAACGTGTTGGGGAAGGAGGATGAGGAAGTGGAAGGAGGACAAAGGGAGAGGAGGAGGAAATAGGAGGAGGGGAGAGAGGATGTCGGTGTGCCGCCTACAACGGGAGTAGAGAGGAGAAAGGAGGTTGAAGGAAAGTGTGTGGAAGGAGGAAGGAGGAGGAAGAGGTGTGTGCCACGTGGCAATACTTCGGGAGGAGAAAGGAGGAAGGAGGAGGAAGGAGGGAGGACGACTAGGGAAGATGAGGAGGAGGGAGGAGGAGGAGGAGGAGGAGGAGGAGGAGGAGGAATGATGGATAAGGACTAGGGGACACGAGGAGTATGGATGAGGAGGAAAGCACCTGGTCAATGTTCAAAACCCCTGGTCTAGGTCTTGTACCTGCCTTGAGATGAATGATGCACACATTGCGGGGTCGGTGTGAGAAAAGTAGACCACTTTTCTCTCTCTCAAGGGTGGGTATTGCTAACTCTGGGGGACATGGTGACTCCTTCTGCATCAGTCAAATCCATCATGCTTAGACTGTCGAGCTGCAACATTCTGATGGGTAACGTTCAAAGTCGGACAAAACAGTCTGGCACAGTCATGCTGCTACTTATGAAGTTGTGTAGTACAGTGCGCAGGACAACACGCACACACTCACGGGCACACACACATCACCACCAACACCACCGCCAACAGCCCCTTCATCTACATCTTTTACCGCATCTCCCCCCCCCCCCCCCCCCGTCAATTACCTCCTCTTCTTTGTCCTCCCCTCCACCTCCTCCTCATTGCATTCCTTGAATTATTGTTGCGCTTCTATTGTTTCTGACTTTGCAGACATTGTCCGTTGGATAGAAGGAGAGCACCGTGCTGTCTTCCTAGAGGATGACAGTACTTTGACTGGTGACTGGTGTGAATGCACAAGTACTGTCTAATGACATGATGCTTATAGGAAGACAAATGCGACTCCGACCCGCTCCACAGAATTATATGCCTGACCGACGTATTTTGTGCATCCATCCTGCATCACCCAGGTCATTTAAATGTTGTTACCTTCGTGGATAATTCATGGACTCTGTGGGATAATGGCCGTAGGGTGCCCTCTGTTGGAAATACTACCTCTTTACTATCACCGAGTGACAAAATCCTACTTGGTCTGGCTAGTCAATCCGGAGAACAGTACATGGATGTGCACATGCAAGCTCTACAGCCTCTGGAGAACAATCCGGCTGAACCTCCCCCCTCCACTGAACGTGGCCAAAAAAAACAAAACAAAAAAAAAAAAATCCCTTGTTGTTGTGCATATCGGACGGGTTCTCCCACGGATAGTAAAAGGGAGGCTCTTCAGAGGACGGCGGCTGCACCATGCAATTGTGTCTCCACACAGGCACAATTCGGTTAGCACGTGCACACACAACACAATCTCTGCTCCGAACACTATGACGGGATGGTCATTGCTAGCTTTCGCGGCAAAAACTGTCACCAGGTGTCGTACACTAGTCTTCCTCCCCCCACTTAGTGGTTGCCCCACGTGTTGCCGTGGCCTAGACATGACTTGCTTGAAGCCGTGGCCTTAACATGCCTTGGCGGAAGAACCGAGAACGTCAGCCTACTTTCCTGCACAAGTGGGTAACAGAGACCCCCACTTCCAACTCCTGACTAACGGGTCCAAAACTGAAATTAGGGTTTTGGGGTCAATTTTTTTTAGGAAAATTTTTGAAATGCCCCCGAAATTTGCGTTTATTTGCGGCGTGCCCTGTGAAGGCCGACTTACCCTGTGGTGCCCCTCGAGCCTCTGAAATTCTCCGCAGGCCTCTGTCGGCATGGGGCATAACTTTCCGATATGCCCTTACTGGACTGCTGGTGGCGTTTCGTCGGTCCGTCCTTGAAATGCCCTCACGAGGGGCACACATCTTTCTGTGATGCCCTTGCAGCAGTGGCGGCACGAATTCGAATCCGAAGTGGTAGGCATTTCACGCGCCGCCACGAAAAAACGGTGTAGCAGTGAGTCTTCGAGTTCGTTGCGTTGGTGATCGATGCGTTCGAGTGCATACGACTACCTCGCAAAGGGGAGCGTGGGCGTGTGTGTCTGTGTGTGTGTCCATGCTCATCGCCCTCCTCCCTCCTCCTCCATCCATGCTCATCGCCCTCCTCCCTCCTCCTCCTCCATCCTCGTCGCTCTCCTCTCTTCTCGCCCAGTCTCCATTCTCTATCCTCGTCTGTCATCGTCAGTCCTTGTCCTCCCGTCTCTTCCCCTCCTCTTCCCTCGTTCCTCCCTCCTCCAACTTTCTCCTCGTCACCCCTCCCTCTCCTCCTCCTCGATTGTCGACCTCCTAACCATCACCATGGCCGTCTTCTTGGCGTCATCGCCCATGCGCGCGCGCGCGTCTACATATGTGTGTGTGTGTGTGTGTGTGTGTGTGTGTGTGTTCGCGTCATCTTTTCGTTTAGTTGTTGGCTGGATAGGTGGTATATGAATGACAAATCCAAGGTGTTTGTCATTCATTGTTTAGTCATTCGGTGTGTGTGTGTGTGTGTGTGTGTGTGTGTGTCCATGCTCATCGCCCTCCTCCCTCCTCGTCCGTCATCTTCATAGTCCTTGTCCTCCCTACTCCTCTCCCCTCCTCTTTCCTTGTTCCTCCCTCCTCCAACTTTCTCCTCGTCACCCCCCTCTCTCCTCCTCCTCAATTGTCGACCTCCTAACCATCTAACCATCACCATGGCTGTCTTCTTGGCGTCATCGCCCAAGCACGCACACGCGTGTGTGTGTGTGTGTGTGTGTGTGTGTGTGTGTGTGTGTGTGTGTGTGTGTGTGTGTGCTCATCGCCAAATTTCTGATATGGCCCCAGGGCCAGGGGAAAGACTGCGAGTGTCAACACCGGCCCCAGGGGATCGCTGGAAAGATGAATGGTACCAATAAGGGCATATGGGAACCTTTTGTGCTGGTTCTCAACAGCCATCCGGTAGGGGCATACTGAAAATTTGGTATTAAGGGCATATGAAACATATTTCAGGCCCAAACGACGCCAGTTTTTTTCGGAAATATCATTCGTCGTCAGAGGGGCGCGACAAGGTAAGTCGGCAGTCAGAGGGGCACGCCGCAAATAGACGCAAACTTCAGGGGCATTTCGAATAGTTCCCCTTTTTTTTTTTTTCAATTATTGAAAACCACATACAATTTCATTCCAAACTGACACTTGAACCGAGGCCGGGTTCCCCACAATTCCACCCGGGGGCTAGGTCCCATATTGACCGTAGATAACAGAGATCAACGGCCAGAGTCTCTTAATTCGTGCAAGTGGGACCTTGCCCCGGGACTGTGTGCCAAATTTGGTATTATTTTGGGCCTCCGTTAACCTGCTCTCCTTTTCCTGGTGGCATGGGTTTTCGTTCAAGTTTGCTGTGTGCCAAATTTGGTATAATTTTCGGCCTCCGTTAACCTGCTCTCCTTTCCTGGTGGCATGTCGGCAACGTGCCACGTGTTGTCATTGTCCCCACCAGGAAGCTGTCACTGGAAAGTATGTGTCTCTGCTTTTTGGACTTAYCCCCGATTSCATCACCCGCCACATCCTCTCCATTGATGTCCCACATGCAACATAGGACACCCTCTGTCTGCACACCTGTAATCGGACTTTCTCGATCTCCATCCTTGCCAGTTGAGCTGCTGACACTCTCCCTTACGCCAGCCATTCTCTCCCTTCCCCTTGAAATTGAAAAGCTTTTGGAAAAGGAACGTGTTTCCTCTGTGCAGGCAGTTCCTATTGCTGCACTCCAGGGTCGATTCTTCAGTATGCGTGAGGACCCCGTAATTGGTTATCGTGTATATATACAGTATCCTGTGAAAATTCATGCGGATAATCAGCGGATTCAAAAAGAAACTTCATGGGTAGGGTCCAGAAGCTGATGGGAGGATGGTTGGGTCTTCTTGGTCCACGACTGGTGGAGGAAAATGGGACGCTCCCGGCAGCAGATCTCAGTCGCGATGATGCTCATATCGTCTTACTAACCCTAAGCACCCTTTTTTTTTTTTTTTTTTTTTTTCTGTTTTTGGTGGTCCTTGTGCAAGGCCTCTATCCCAGTGGTGGTAAGAGAACCACCCAGATTGAGGCTTTGCCTGCTGGCCGCTCCGTTGGTGGGGAGCATCACCTGCTGGAAACCGGGTCCAGCGTCCCTTGAATACTTATATCATTTCTTGTCCCAAAACTTTTTTTTTTTTTTTTTTTTGGGAAATTGTCCCGAAACGTATCCCACCCTGACCATGAATTTATACAAGCTGTCGTTTCAGTCCGAGACAG